TTTTGACTGATTTGTCTGCGGCCGTCGCTACGTTCTAAAAGTCGCTACGGTTGGGAATACTGCTGTTTGGCCACACTGTGCCAAGTCCCAGATGCTTACGCCCCCTAGATCTGGTAGAAAAACTCCCTAAAAAACCTTTAAAAATATTTTTTCACCCTAAAAAAAACCCTAATTTTTTTGAAATTATATATTTAAAATTTTTTATTATTCTTTTATGAATTACAAAACTTTTAAAACATTAAAAGAAAACGAAAACCATTAATTATGAAAATTAAATACAGTCGACCCCCTATAACACTTGATTATTCCGTTTTATATGAATTCTATGATGTACGAGTCACTTAGATTTTACAAATAGGAGAGCCGTTCACAGCCCGGCACACGTATTTGTAAAATCTAAGTGACTCGTACAACATGGAATTCACATAAAACGGAATAATCAACAGTGTTAACTTGTATCTTGAAAAACATTAATGACATCATTTAATTCTTCTGATACATTTGTAAATTGAGAATTAATATGGTCATACATTTTTTGATTAAATTTTTCTATTATTGGTAATGGTTGAAAATTGGTACAAGTTATTTCATTTCTTAAAAAGTAATATTTGTTTGATAAAATAGTTTGTGCCATATTTAAATACAATCTGTTTCTTAATTTTGATTTTATAATTGAATGGATTGAAAAAGCCCTGTCAATAGTTCCATTAGAAGTTGGAAAACACAAACATTTCAATGCTAAGTGAGCAATATTTCTAAATCTTGGGTTTCCAGCTGAATCAGTGTCCTCAAAAACTTCAATCCAAAAATCAGTTGTTTTGCCATAATTATTCCATACTTTATTTTGAATATTTTGCCATTCAGACTCTGTTTCAGTCAAATAAAAAGATAATAATAAAATAATAATTGTGCAATTGGAAGAATTGATGGCTTTTGTTGTGGTGTTGCAACATGGATGCAGTTGACTTAATTGTTCTAGAATTATAAGATTTTCTGGTAAACGTTGTTGAATTTGTGTACACAACTCTGTAATAAAGGCTCTTCATTGGTATTTAACATCACTATACTCAGATTCAGAAACATTTGAACTAAAAATGTTAAATTTATATCCTCACTATTGACATAAACTAGGTGATTTTAAAAGTTTAATTTTATGAGATCATTTCTTACTTTTTCAAAAATAGTTGTTACAATAATTTTTCTTAATATTGATTTATAAAGTAAGAAAAAAATCTTGATATAATTTCAAAGGATCAATATGATCACTTTGAAATAACTTATTTACACCAGAGACTTGTTTTAAAACGTTTTTTAAAAATATCATGAACAGTGTGTAAGCATTAACCTTCATAATATTATACAGCTGCTCTGCAGGAAAACGTCTATCTTGTTCCTTTGCTAATCTAAACAATAAAAGTAATTCCTCCCACTGATCTATAATAGTCTTGATAGCTTCATAGCGAGCAAGCCACCTTGTTCCACTGAGTTTAGCAGTGGCGTGCCGTCATTAGAAGCGGTGGAAGCGCCGCTTCCCTCTAAAAAAAAATAAATATTAATTTTGATTATATGAAAATAATCGCACAATATTTTATTATAACCGCATTATGTATCTTATTACAAATTTCTATAGTACACGTGAAAAAAAAAATTGCTTTTGTATATTCGAATATTAGTGGCTGAGTGGAATCTCTGAAATTTTCAGATTCCAAAAAGCCAGATTTGCGCATGCGCTTTACAGAGCACCAACCTCACCAAAGCATAACAAAGAAACAGCAACATTTAAAATTTTGATGGAGTCATCTGTTATCATATTTTATTAAAAAACTTTTTATACTTTTAACTATTATAAAATGGCAAAAAGCTTAATTTTGAGGATATGGATGAGTTTTACAAAAAAAATGTAAATGCTAATAACGAGTTAAATCGTCATTAATTCCGACCCTATTGGAAATACACNTCATCTGTTATCATATTTTATTAAAAAACTTTTTATACTTTTAACTATTATAAAATGGTAAAAAGCTTAATTTTGAGGATATGGATGAGTTTTACAAAAAAAATGTAAATGCTAATAACGAGTTAAATCGTCATTAATTCCGACCCTATTGGAAATACACACGACTCCCATTATCTCCTTCATCTTTAACCTCCAAAATAGCATCAATTCCCCTAATAAACAAACCTTGCAAAATTTCATACATTTTCGACCAAAAGCACAGGAGTTGTTAAGCTCCACACAATAACATCCAAATATACCGAATTTTTTTTGAATTTCTCGACGTGTCAAGGGGCCTAAATCCAAAAATGTAAATATCTTGGGGGGTCATTTTTTGATTGATTGCCATTGTGAACCGCCGGGAAGGGGGGTAGGTCTACCAATCCGGCAGCGGCTGTTTAACCATGTTCACGGTCAGGATGGGTGGAAGGATTCTTTTTCCCGCAGTAACGGGCTTTAATGTTTCGGGTCGAGTGGCGGAGGGAGGAGTGCGTCGGTGAGACGACAGGCGATATACGAATAAACGAGGAGGCCAGATGTAACATAAGAAAAATTAACAATTTATTAAAACAAGTTCCGGGTAATACAACGTCTAGTTAGCGTCCCTAAAACGCGGAGAGACCGAGAGAGAGCTTACAATAATTGGTTCCATACCTCTTGATCTGTTATCCACTGAGGAAAATTCTCCACTCTTAGATTTAGGAAAGTTCACTGTTTAAAATTTAAACCTTTGATGTAGGAAAGTTCACTGTTTAAAAAGGACACTAATTTTAAAGTTATCGGCTCCTGGCACCTGCTCTGGAACGACTCCCCCGAGAAGGGGAAGGAAGGGGTTTTTATAAGATCGGCGTGGGAGAATGGTCACGTGATTGATTATTGTGAGGTAAAAGGTACGCAGATGGGTCAGAGTTGTTCCCGGGACCATGCTAACTATCAACTTAGCAGTTGGAATGTGGGATTAGTTTCGAAATGAACGGATGTTTAAGTCGAACATAAAGGAAAAATTTTTTTTCCGTTAGGCTTCACTTTAAGTTAAAGGAAAATTTAATAACGTTTTTAGGCAAATACGGGACAATTAGTCGGCAAAATAATCGGTAAAAATTCCGAATCTCACACCATGCTTTCCCTCTGTTATATATAACAGCCAGGGAAGTAAAAGTAATTGTTGTTGTCAATAAAATCCGGAGAGCTTTTTATAAATTTCACGATACTAATTTCCAACCAATTAGAAGAAAAAGTTGACTGTTTTTGAATTTAGTAGTGACAACAACAACAACAACAACGAATAAAATTTAAATTTGCTTTAATAAATTTTTATTATTTTTTCCGTGTAAATATCGATGAAATTAATATAAAATAAATATTTTTACAACATACATAGGCTTTTCTCTTAGTTGTTTTTGAACTAATATATTCAATTTACGAGATTTTTAACCGCTTAAAAATCTCCTAGAACGAATACTCCGCTTAAATCGAAGGGGGTGTGTAAATTAGTATTTATATTTACGTTGTAAGATTGTTGATAAATTTTTGTGTAGTAAACACATCCAAATATTAAAAATATTTGCAAAATTGAAAATTATGTATGAAGTTTCTTATTTAAAATTTTGCAGATGAGTAGAACTTTTTGTAAATATTTTTAAGAACGATTTTGTAATGTTGATACTATAAATTTTTTATGCAAATGTGGTTGGACTAAACACATTCGTAAATCTGAATTTATTTCTGAAAGAAAAAAAAGTAATAAAAAGCACGTAAACAAAATATTTCATTTCTTGGAAACGTTTGAAAGAAAATGATTGAAAAAATAATTACATTGAATAATAATAGTGATTTATTTTATGCACTTTTCACTTTTAGTACTTTATTTTTTTAACAAGTTTTGCATAATTAATAATAAAATAAATTATAAATAATAATTAATAAGAGCTTTATTATTCTAATACAATAATTTTCATTTCATATAATCTTGATGCAATAAGGTTTTGAACAATGACAAGTATAATGTCGTAGGAGCTTTTTTATTTACTTTTATCAGTATCTACCAGTGGCCGAATGGATAAAGCCACTGAACACTGGTAGTTGGTAGTGGATTCGCGCTTGGCCTAGCCACGTGGAGCTTTCCGGGTTTTCTTCACATTAGTAACGTCTAAACAGGGTCCAGTTTCCCATGAAAGATCGTACGCGATGCAGATCGCCCATGTAATCAAATAAAACCATTTAGTTTTATCAGTTAATTAAAACCGATAATGTATTTACTATTATTAAAATTAAAAAAAAAACTTTAGAATATTTCAATCAGAAATTTAATGATAGTATAAATTGATGAAAAATAAGCTATACTTAAACAGAAACATCTTCATTTCGGTACACTAATTTTCTATCTTTAGGCACTTTGGAAGTTTGCCTTAGATCAACAACCTTTAATAAGTTGTATTTCATATACGATATTTAGCAAGTTTATATTATTTCATATCTAAAACTATTGTTCTGATAAAAGCCATTTAAAATTTATTTTTTGAAATGTAAATATCAACGAGCAATTATTTATTGTGACATCATCACAATGCCGGGCTGCAATTTTTAATCACTTTTTAATTTAAAAATTCACGTGACTTCCGGCCCAGACTGGAAGTTTGTACATAGATTAATAGGGATCTCCGGTCCCTAAGCTTTCCGTATCTGGTGTCGATTTTCATCTATGTAACTCTGTTTTCCAGATCAACGAAGGACAGACATATGGACGACAGTGAGAATGTATAGATCTGCAATTCGAAAATTGCAGCCCAACAAAAATTGAATTTAGTGAAGATAATACAGTATAGTAAACTTTAAAATAGGGAAAGAATATTGTTCTGAATAAAATTTACTAATTTCATATTTTCAATTTGAAATCGCTATTAATGTTATAATTTATTAAAAGTATTTATTAGTTAATAAGTCAATTAATAATTATTTTATTTCAATAAAAAATGAAATATTTTTACATAATTCAAGAGTTATACTTAATTACCAATATTTATAAATGAGGCGACTGTTTTCCAATACATAGTTTTTTCATAATAATGATTCTTTGGTTTCTGATAACTGATGATCTGAACTTGAAATTTTTATGTTACCATGATTAAAAATGCTATTTTCTTTAAAGGTAATTACTACATCTGTTGTTGAATGAGATAAAGGACATGTTATGTTTGGAGTCATACTCATAGATGTAATATCATGATCATCTTGTCTTGGAATATAGGGCAATGGACTTGTACTTTGATAACCATCTTTTTTTTCTATAATGATATAAAAAGCACACGAATTAATTTTAAATTTGTTTAAAGTTTTGAAAAATAATCGTCATTAAAAAATAAAATTAAAATTGTTCAAAGAATATCTTCTTAACTGCCTAAAGATATAACTTCCTACAAGTAATTAAGATATTGTATACCTTTCATCCAATGACTAATAAAAGGATTATAGATAAGAGAGGATGCTGTTAGTTAATATCTTTACAAAACTTTTCATACACAAAAGTTGTAAATAAAATTTAACAATGGACTTTAATATATTTTACTCGATTTTGATAAGAATTTTCAATTGTTTTCTTGAAAGAAAAATAGTCAAATAAATTTTTATGATGCTCCTTCTCTAACTTTTATCACTTTATTCTTAAGGATTTTAACTCGTTTATCGAACCTTTAAAGAAATATCTGCAATTTTTTTATATTCGGTAAGCATTTTTACTCAAAAATATCGAATTTTTTAGATTATAAATTTATTTTTTTGTATTACTTTTTTATATTTTTGCTGACTAATGGAATAAATCATGATTTTTAGGATTGTTTATTAGGATAAGCGAAGCATCCTTAAAGCTTATTATATATACAAGCAACAACTGAAGAGTAGTATAAAGTAAGCATGAAGGCTGAAAGAAAGCGTATCCTAAGATAAATTACGTTTTAATGAAGTACCTTATAGGATATAGGATACACTCTAATATTATTATTCTTCCAACTGTTTTAACATTATGCTTTCTATAGTATATGCATAAAGCTTTAAAACATGATAAACTAAGCATAGAAGATAAAGGAGAGTGCATAATAACGTTAAAACATAGGATATTATAAAGGATACTACTATTAGAGTTTAAACAATTTAAAAAATCATTAATACAGTATAACATAGAACAGATAAAGAATTAAAAAATGAAGCATGTAAGCATAATTATTCAATTTAATTAATTAATGCATCCTTTATCTCCTCCAACATCCTTTATCCATTTCTCCAACTCTTCTCCAACATCCTTTATCCATTCCTTCAAATCTTTCATAAACTNTTCCCGAATCCTTGTTTACAGCACCTGTTTTAGAATCAATTCGCCTCTAAGCGATATTTCGGTGTTTTAATTTGGATAGGTATCAGATAAATAAAAATCATCTTGTCGCTTTGATAAATAAAAACATGCATGTTCATCACAAACGAATAATAATAGTGACTCATTACAGGGGACCCTTAGGAAGAAATAAAAATTGTTTAGTTATTTCTTGTTCATTATTATTATTATTTTGTAGCTGTATCAAAATATCTCATATGAGCTTTAATGAATAACATACTGATGAAAAATGATGGCTCCGCGTACAACTTGAAATTTCTGTCTGATCTATCTAAAATCTGATCTATATTCTTTTGAAAAGTATGTCCATTGGATGTGCCCTAATTTATCTATAAAGATAGCAGCACGTTGCAATCGCTATTTGTTTTAAACAGCCTTAGTCCGTGGTTTATTTCTACAATGTCCTGCATACTGCTATTGATGCACTAAATTTTGTGTTGCAGATTCTGTTTTGTAATTTAACGTAGTAATAATTTAGTGATGAATAAATACCGTATTGATTTCGGAGAAAATTTTGATATTCTAACTAGATTTGTTCAGTAGTGTAAATAATAGGCTAGTAATTCTTGCGGCGCCTGTTATTTACGCCAATGAGCTTGCAAACTTCTTGCGAGATTCTTGAAAAGCGCCTTAGTAAAATCTTGTCAGTGGTCTTGGACTTGTTTTTGTGTTTCTGAATTTGTATTCTTAGTATTGAAAACTTCGTGATATTCACTTTATCAATTGAAAATGTTTGTTTTTATAATAAATATATTCTGAACTATAAAGGGTGATGTTTTTATAAAATCATTTAAAACATAGATTTAGAACTTTATAGGATATGAACTATTTTTGAAGTTTTTGAATATCATTTCTCAAAACTTCTTGAATCTCTCAAAATATCTTAAAAGTATTCAAATAATAGGCATATTTTAAATTTTAAATATATAAACTTATACAAGTATCCCTCGTACAACACGGTATTTCTATAACACGGTTGGAAAATTTGGGATGTCCCCGTACAACACGATTTCGCTCTAATACGGTTTTTAGACAGGCCCGTCTTTGGTACGTGCGAGGCCCTGGGCCAAGAAAAGCTCGGAGGTCCCTTTAAGAAATTCGTAATGGAGGGTTAATGTTCATAAATTTTTTTAATTAGCTTTCTCTGCTAAACATATTGTTATATTTATATTTAATCAAATTTATCAAACATATCTTCTGATTGTTTACTATTTATAATAATTTTATTACTTGTTGCTCTATTCAATTTTACATATTTTCGAGGTTTCGAATGTTAGGACCAGACCTGGTAGGCCTCCTAACATTCCAGATAAGGACGAAAAAAATTGTACTAACTTTCTGATTAACCAGTTGTCGTTGCTTTCGGACTTTAGCCCTTAAGACTGTCACCGTGTTTTCGTTTTATAGATTAATCTTCGTATTTAGTAAACGATTTTAGGTAAGTGTTATTAAGCTTTCTTAACTGTAGGTAAGCAATCATTCGTAAAATGACGAATGAAATACAGCAATGTCTCGGTACTCGAACAATTCGGTATTCGAACACAAATTCTGGAAAAAAGTTGTTCGGTACTCGACCAAACAAACTCGACCTACTAAAACAAATTTTCGATTAATAACATATTTTTATTTCGTCATCCATAAAATTTGTATGCACTTGTATTTCCATGTACTGTATCCTTCATTACAGTCTTTCCATGATGTGTTTTGAGAAGGAGCCTTAAATAATATATTTTGTATATTGCAAACGTACAGTACAATATATATACAAACATATAATATCTTAATGTTTAACTTACAAATCAGTACTATTATAAAAGAAATTTTATTAATCAATAAGTCTTTTTTTTTTAAAAAAAAAATAATAATTTTAAACACTAACCTGTTGCGGAATGTAAAGATTGAATAGAATTCCTCCCACGACTCAAATATGTTAGAGATTGAGTAAGAATAGAAGCATGACTGAAGCACTTTGAATGGGTGGGTTCAGTTTGCAACAATTTTTTAATCTCCGCCTGAACCTTATATTAAAATGGATTGACTAAGTAAACTTTATAATTTATAATTAAAGTAAAATTTTATATTTCTAATAATAATTGTACTTACTTCTCCATTAAGAAAACAATAAAGGAGAGCCACAAATGATCCCTTTGAAACAATTTAGTAAATGAACGATTGATAATTTAAGAATAGAAGAAATAAAAATGATTATTTTTAAGAAATAAAATTTATTATTCTTTACATTGTAACATATATTTATATACTTATATACTTATATTTATATACTTATATACTTATATATACTTATATATTTATTAAACTTAAAATGAGAAAGTTTTATATTCTAATTTTGTACCGTTTAAGTGAATCGGGTTTGATAGCGAAGTTAAATTATATAATTTAAGTTAATTTATATACTTCGTCAATAACAATTATTATAATTACCACTTAAAGATATGATTTCGGGATTTGAAATATGCAATCTACCGAAAAGTAAGTTGACATCTCTACTATGATTCCTGTCAACTTAAATTAATCTGTTGTTGCTACTACAATGGTTGAGAACCTTTCTGGATACACTTTTACTAGTTTTCATTCAGTACGGATAACAATATATTCTTTCTATTTTCCTGGAATATGTTTAAAAATCCAGGAAATGATGAAAAGTCAACTTTATACCACTTCCCGAATCCTTGTTTACAGCACCTGTTTTAGAATCAATTCGCCTCTAAGCGATATTTCGGTGTTTTAATTTGGATAGGTATCAGATAAATAAAAATCATCTTGTCGCTTTGATAAATAAAAACATGCATGTTCATCACAAACGAATAATAATAGTGACTCATTACAGGGGACCCTTAGGAAGAAATAAAAATTGTTTAGTTATTTCTTGTTCATTATTATTATTATTTTGTAGCTGTATCAAAATATCTCATATGAGCTTTAATGAATAACATACTGATGAAAAATGATGGCTCCGCGTACAACTTGAAATTTCTGTCTGATCTATCTAAAATCTGATCTATATTCTTTTGAAAAGTATGTCCATTGGATGTGCCCTAATTTATCTATAAAGATAGCAGCACGTTGCAATCGCTATTTGTTTTAAACAGCCTTAGTCCGTGGTTTATTTCTACAATGTCCTGCATACTGCTATTGATGCAGAATGAACTTTATGGCGAGTTTATGTTGGCGTAGTTTTATTGCTATTACACGAATTGACAGGCATCTAAGTGAAACCTGACAATGATGCCTTTCTCAAACTCTAACAGTTCTATGCCTAACAGTATTTTGCAGCATACTAATGTGATGTCTACTCAGGATATGCCATTTATTTTCCATAAGTGAACGGTGCTTTTTTCCGTCTAATGAGAATACAATTACGTTTTGGTAAATAGTGTATATTGTTACATTGAATCTATTAATTAGACAAAAATAACTAATGGTTAATCTACCAATCATTCTTGATTTGGTTTTCAAGACAGTTTCTATCAGTTTTATCATAGAAAAACCATATTCAGCAGAAGCCAAATGCATGAGAATAGCCAAAAGAATTATACTAATATTTGGATTAGTCTCATCAAATCTATTATTATGTACTGTATATATTTCAATAAAACTAAATATATAAAATAGAAAGATGAAACATTCGACATACTCCTGAACTCATTATTAGGATTTTGAACTTTTTCATCACATGCAACTCAGTTTTCTGTTTCAGATAGAGACAACTTAAATAATTATGAGAATTTAAAAATTCTTTTGCATTGATAGTTTAGAAAGTATAAGCAAAAATTCAAATACTTCTTTAAATTTTTAAACTCTTGAAATTGTTCAAAATAGTCTTTATTATATAATTCAATATTATATTAAATAACTATCTGAAATTTTAAATTCTACAGGATGTTCACTGGAGTTACATGAAAAATGTTTTTACTGTCTACATCTAATAAATCTTCTAGAACAGAAAATATTGTCTTTGGGATTAATTTCTAATTCTTTAGCTGAATTCTATAGTAAAATTCTGTTTTATAGAAGTAAGTAATTTTTTGTATTTTCCAGAAATACCAACACTTTCTCTAATTATAAGTTTTCACTTTGAAGAACTTTTGTTCACAAAATTTACCTGAGTGATAATATCATGCAAAATGTGAAGCATAACGAGAAAGTTAAATCTTAATTTCTTATTCCAATAAAAGGGCATTTGTTTTGATTTTAAATCATTGATCGGTGAGATGCGATAAATATAAATGTTTAACATCTCACCATTTTCAGGCGAAGAGCTTTAACGAATTCATCTCTGCATTCTCATTTTTAGACATCACAGAATTTGATAGCCTAGTCGTATCATATGATATTAAATGCAATATTGTGGCAACTACAGCACAAAATGCTCTTTAATTAGTTCTAATTATTGTTTTTACCTATTTGTTAGAGCCTCTCAAATTAGGCTCAAACTACAAAATATTGATAACTTAATCAATGTAGTTTATTTAAAACTATGTAAAATTCATTGTATACAAAACACAAGAATTTGAACCGTATTGTTTCAAACAACGCTTTTTAAATAAAAAAAATTTAAATCGGAAGTGCGACCAACCAATGGATTCGAATCTGACACCGTTATCGTGGAATCTAACTTTCTTTCTCGAAATAAAGTTTAACGTTAACATTTAAGCTTTCATGTTTTACAAAAGCCTATGTGAAAATTTTCAGTAGATCTGGTACGAAAGTATTTTTATGTAATGTCAAAATTATAGTCGGCGCAACTAGAGTTGGCCGTTGGGTTGGCTCAACTTAGTATGCTATAAGAGAGATTGATAAGACGATACATTTTTTTTTCTTAATTTGTAATCTAGAATTTTTAATATATATAAATATTTAATACAAGATAATAATGCTGATGTAATTAACTAAATTAACCACACGCACTCGACCGCTTTTCAAGACAAAATAAAATCGCATATATTGTAAAGATTTTACATACAGATAAATAGGAAAAGTTTATTTTTTAATAAGACAGTATAACGTAAATGGGCCTCAATCAGAACAACCCTTAATGCATTAGACTTCAGACGAAAAACGGAAATATAACGGAAAAAGCCGATTTAATTTTGGAAGGTGGATAGAAATTCCCCAGGCTTCTAGAACAGTTATCGTATATTGGGATCATAATCTTTATATATATATATACATATTATATATTATCCCAATATACGATAATTTTATTATAATGAAAAAATACCGAACACCCGAGTTTGACTTTTGCGTCTATACTCCTCCGTATTTGAGTTGTGATAGCATTATTTCTTTCATTCCGTCCACGGCTTTCAGAGAACATTTCTTAGCTTAATGTAATCGTTTTACTAAAAATATTTGAACTTTCCATCTCTAGAAGGTTTCCATCTTACTCCTGTTTCGGCTTTTCAGTTTTACTGTAGTATCACTGTAGAGAAATAATTCTTAGCGAAGATTTTTTAATTTTTATTTCGAATCATCATGAAAAATTAAAAAAAAAAAACCCCAATAAAAATACTTGTAGAAACAGCACATGCTTAATTAATTACTGAATTTTCACTTAAGTACTCAAAGCTTTTTAAATTCTGGCAAGTGAAATTATACTGTATATGATGAAATTCCAAGACAAAAGTGAGTCATGATCTGATATGCACATTGCAATTAATTAATTAAACATTACTTGAGCCTAACATAAGAAGAAGACTTTATTACAGTGTTATATGACATGCCGTATGTTGAGCACTTATACTGAAATGTCTAATGTGAGCCATAGTGAGATTTTTCATTTATTCTACTTGATAAAACGCTCGCTTCACTTAATACTTAAGTCAATTTGTCTTAAATAACTGATTAAATAGGAAAAAAGAAATTTTTAAATGTCCAAGGAGTAAATTCAAAGTAGACCTATCATATATCTCGGCAGATAAGACAATAGTTGAATCATAAAAAAGGCCCTTAAAATCCGGGTCTCTTATAGGACAGATACAAAAAAAAATTAGATTGAAATTTATATAAATTAAAACCATTATAGTAAAACGGACAAACCGTAATTATTTACTAGTAGAGAGTAGGGTATGTCCACAAAATAGAATAGCCCATATGTTTTTGTGAAAAGTCAAGGTCATTACCCGAATGCCCAAATCAGTGTGAATGTTTGCAACAATACCAAGGCAGTGCTGCCAGATGCAAGAAAATAAAATTTGATGTTCTTTCAAAAAATTACGAATAGGACATAATTCCGTATACGCTGTACAGTGTTATTATCCAGATGATGATCGTCGATCTAAATAAAATTCATAGGCAGTTGATAGTTTGGGGGTTGTCTTTTAGGACAAATGTATGCTAAAACTATAAAACTTCGACGAAAATTACACCTCGTCTTATCTGCCGAAATATACGCTATTTAATTTATACTTTCTTTTACTATTTTATTTTATATAATAAATGACGCAGTGTACTACAATTTCTTATTAACTTTTAATAGTTACTTTTTGTTATATCAGGATTATTAGCAATTTCAAATTTAAGACTAAAAATTAGATTAACTTACGATTAATTCTTTAATCGCAAAATAAATCTCTATTAGAACTTTTAATAGTTTCGCATTTTTAATTTTATTAGAATAAGTAACGTCCACTAATAATATTATTAGCATTAATATACAAAAAATAAAATTATTTTACTATTTTATTATTATGTTTAACAAATTTAAGCAAGCCCGTAAAAGTAAAAATTCATATAAAGAAACAGAATTGAAAATTCATAGATAGGCTACTAATTTTAGCAGTCAAGTAAATAGCACTTAGGGTGAGGTTAATATTGACCAGATTTACCACTGAAAAGTCAAGACTTTTGCATTAAAAAATCGAGTGGATAAAAGACATTTCCGATTAGATTAAAAAATAGAAATTACAGTTGTATTATTTAAATATATGACAATATTAAATTACTAAGTTGTTCTATGAGACAGGGAAAAAAACGAATAAGATTTGGATTAAATTTTATATTGTATTATTTGATGCTGTAAAGCAATAATATGTAATAAAGAAATTTGAGTATAATTTTAAAATTAATATTTTAAATTTAGAATTAATAAATTTACTTACTTGAAAAGCTGAAAATAATTGATCAATGTATAACCAAACTAATTCAACGATTTCATTGACAGAAGCAGCTAAAGATACCGCTAATAATAATGCATAATGCACACCAAAAAGCGGAACAAGAATCAAAGTAGACTTAAACCATTTTCTATAAATACAATTTAAATTGTAACATCATTTAATACATTCCATAAGTAATTTATATATAATGTTAGGTTCAAAGACCAAAAAGCTTATTGAGCGAAAAAATCAACCACAACGTATTCTTTTCGGTCTTTGAGCCTAACATATATATTAAAGTATAGCCTNAATATAATTTATTAAAATAAAAACATACCAATATTGACAAGGTAATAGGACCTCGAATAATCCAAAAATATATTACGTTTTTATTTGTCGTCCAACATCTGTTTTAAATAAAAAATATTCTCACTGTATTTATTTATCATTCTAAATTAGAAAAAAAAATGTCTATTAATTAATTTTGTAATATAAGCAACATTTAAATTATAACACAATTATAAATTCTAAAATTTACAATAAAAATATATTGCAATGTAGTTAAATAAGTTAGCATTTCAATATATAATGTAAACTTGAGTTTATATTTTAAATTGAATACTATGTTTACTTTCTATTCCAATTTTATGCTATTTTAAAAGTTAGAAATCTCAATAATGTTTAATTCAATAAATCTTTAAAAAGTTTACATATAATTAATTTTCGCTTGAACTGATAATCAAATTTATGATCATTTATTATCTTCAATTTTTCAATTATAATAAATATAGCTCCATTAAATTCATTTCACTGATAAAGTAGCTATTTTGAATTTTCAAAACTTTTCGCCCTGGGATATTAAGAGGTCCTTTTTAGAAAGCCCATTATGGGTTCGACCAGGCCCAGAACGGGGGGCTGAGTGGTGAGGGACGGAGCCCAAAATCTCCAGTAAGACCGAAAAATTTCTGGGGTTTTTCGATCAGTTCGGATTTGATTTTAGGTTTCAAAGCTGGGACTGAATTGTTTTGAAGCCTATATTTTTTCGGCTCTGAAAAGAATTAAATGATAGCATCATTTGAGAAAATGAAAAAGAGATCATTTAAAAATTTCAAATTTCGGTTTCTCTGTCCTAAAAAATCGTGAGATTTTGTATTTCTTACGTGAGATCGTAAGATTTCGTTAAAAATCGTGAAATCTTGCAATTTATCGCGAGATCTGGCGAAACAAACAGAACATGCTTGGCTAAGCTACTGTAGTACATTTCTGGCTTGGATCGGCTGCGAGTTCGTGTTTTGAACAAATTCGATAAAAATTCTAAGATAATCAACTATAACAATTAATTAAGAAACGAAACAGAAAATTCTTAAATGGTGCTAAATTATACCGACATCGTATCAAAAGTACCACAATTTGTGATTTCAAACCAAGTTTGATACTATAGCTACAACTCTGAAAGCCCTAAACTCAGGGCATATCTAACTGCTGTGATATTGCATGCACATTACTGTTGTCATTTTCACTCCGTGCTGCACTACTGCATTAGCGACGTCTTTCGTTTTCAAATATCCAATCGGGTTGTGACACTCGCCTTATTTCAAAGCGAAAGTTACAGTCACCTCAAAATCCAAAATCATTTTTCTAAGATTCTCAATAATCAGATAACCTTTTCGTAAACGTTTTAAACGCCGAAATCCTTTTATTGCTATTTTAATTGATTGAAGAATTTAACAAGTAAGGAGTAAGCATAATAAGTAATTTAACAAGTTAACAATGGTAGTTGGTTCTGGATTCGTATCTGAACAACGAGATGGCCTCGTGGAGTTTACCTGTTTTATCCAAGTATTTTATACATAAATTGGGAGCCAGTTTCCAATAGAACAGTCTTGCCGAGTCCCTCTGGTACACTGTTTCCTGTTGTGTTGCGTCCCATATCTTACCCCCAGGAAACTATGCAAGCATAGCTTATTAGTCAAATAGTTTTTGTAATAATGAAGAAAGGCTTGTGGATAGATTGGACTAAATGTCGTGAAAGGGAGGGAGATTAAATTGAAAGAGAAGAAAAGTTGTATAAGAGTTACAACTAATTTATTACGGATACTTTCTTTCGTCCATTTTATTTATTACAATGTATTGTAATAAATACAGTTACTGTTAAGTATAAAAATAAATAAGTATATAAATCATTATATAAATGTGAAACATCCGGATGATCGCGCACTTTTTTATTAACGTGATGGATCTATTGTTTTTCTATTGCATTTCTTTCCATTTAGAAATTACAAAGTCAACTTTTATTTCTTATTCATTATGGTTCAGCTAAGCTGACATTTAGGATCGACTGTATGATGGAGAACGGGCAATCTGACACATCCGAGTAGACAATCTGTGAAAAACTCTTGAGAATTATACTGACAGTCAAACGCAAATTTAAGTCTTTCAAAGCGTCAGGTAGATTTATTTTCTCGCTTCAATAGTTAAACAAGTTTATTATTATTATTACTTTTTTAGATGTGCAAATGAAGATGAAGAAACTGAGAAGTCTCGTTTTAGTTTAAACTAGTATGTTGTTCTTTTCCCTCATTTATGCTGATTTAAATGATTCAACCAATATTGACAAGGTAATAGGACCTCGAATAATCCAAAAATATATTACGTTTTTATTTGTCGTCCAACATCTGTTTTAAATAAAAAATATTCTCACTGTATTTATTTATCATTCTAAATTAGAAAAAAAAATGTCTATTAATTAATTTTGTAATATAAGCAACATTTAAATTATAACACAATTATAAATTCTAAAATTTACAATAAAAATATATTGCAATGTAGTTAAATAAGTTAGCATTTCAATATATAATGTAAACTTGAGTTTATATTTTAAATTGAATACTATGTTTACTTTCTATTCCAATTTTATGCTATTTTAAAAGTTAGAAATCTCAATAATGTTTAATTCAATAAATCTTTAAAAAGTTTACATATAATTAATTTTCGCTTGAACTGATAATCAAATTTATGATCATTTATTATCTTCAATTTTTCAATTATAATAAATATAGCTCCATTAAATTCATTTCACTGATAAAGTAGCTATTTTGAATTTTCAAAACTTTTCGCCCTGGGATATTAAGAGGTCCTTTTTAGAAAGCCCATTATGGGTTCGACCAGGCCCAGAACGGGGGGCTGAGTGGTGAGGGACGGAGCCCAAAATCTCCAGTAAGACCGAAAAATTTCTGGGGTTTTTCGATCAGTTCGGATTTGATTTTAGGTTTCAAAGCTGGGACTGAATTGTTTTGAAGCCTATATTTTTTCGGCTCTGAAAAGAATTAAATGATAGCATCATTTGAGAAAATGAAAAAGAGATCATTTAAAAATTTCAAATTTCGGTTTCTCTGTCCTAAAAAATCGTGAGATTTTGTATTTCTTACGTGAGATCGTAAGATTTCGTTAAAAATCGTGAAATCTTGCAATTTATCGCGAGATCTGGCGTGTAGAATTAAATATAAGATTGATTGAATAATAAATTTATATTCTTTTACATATGTAAAAAAATTATCTGGATTTGGACATGATTTCAAATGAATTTTATGTTAAAATTTTAATGGAATTTTTTCATATTTTCTTTAGCATAAACCACAACTAAGAATGCGTCATACATTTCCAATTTATTCTTGTTTAACGTTGAGAAGAAATATAAAAAGATACTTGTGAGAGATGCAATCTAAGTCCAATATCCTTTCAGATTCTTGCAATTTTTCTTGTTCTTGTATTTTACAATTGTCTCGTGATCACTTAATTCCATAGAATTTGTCTTACCGACTCATTCTTATCAATTCTTTCCAGAGCTTGGTTTTCGAAAAACAATTCTCTTTCTTTTACCATTTACATTTCGATTTTATATCTTTATCATACAAATCTAAATCAGACAGTTCTTAAATCATTTCGATAAACCAAAAACGAAAGAATTAGAATTTACATTACAGTGTCTAAATCAAATATTTATATAAAAATTTAGACAATAATTTAAACATCCAAATTAAAAGTAATAAACCTATATATGTATTTTAAAATTATACGAATATTTTATGAGCTTAGATTTATATTATAATTGAAAATATTAATTAATTATTACATAAAACACATTTTATATAGTAGTTTTACATAATAGCATATACTATAATTTGTTGTTTTGTAAAACTAAATATAATTTATTAAAATAAAAACATACCAATATTGACAAGGTAATAGGACCTCGAATAATCCAAAAATATATTACGTTTTTATTTGTCGTCCAACATCTGTTTCAAATAAAAAATATTCTCACTGTATTTATTTATCATTCTAAATTAGAAAAAAAATGTCTATTAATTAATTTTGTAATATAAGCAACATTTAAATTATAACACAATTATAAATTCTAAAATTTACAATAAAAATATATTGCAATGTAGTTAAATAAGTTAGCATTTCAATATATAATGTAAACTTGAGTTTATATTTTAAATTGAATACTATGTTTACTTTCTATTCCAATTTTATGCTATTTTAAAAGTTAGAAATCTCAATAATGTTTAATTCAATAAATCTTTAAAAAGTTTACATATAATTAATTTTCGCTTGAACTGATAATCAAATTTATGATCATTTATTATCTTCAATTTTTCAATTATAATAAATATAGCTCCATTAAATTCATTTCACTGATAAAGTAGCTATTTTGAATTTTCAAAACTTTTCGCCCTGGGATATTAAGAGGTCCTTTTTAGAAAGCCCATTATGGGTTCGACCAGGCCCAGAACGGGGGGCTGAGTGGTGAGGGACGGAGCCCAAAATCTCCAGTAAGACCGAAAAATTTCTGGGGTTTTTCGATCAGTTCGGATTTGATTTTAGGTTTCAAAGCTGGGACTGAATTGTTTTGAAGCCTATATTTTTTCGGCTCTGAAAAGAATTAAATGATAGCATCATTTGAGAAAATGAAAAAGAGATCATTTAAAAATTTCAAATTTCGGTTTCTCTGTCCTAAAAAATCGTGAGATTTTGTATTTCTTACGTGAGATCGTAAGATTTCGTTAAAAATCGTGAAATCTTGCAATTTATCGCGAGATCTGGCGAAACAAACAGAACATGCTTGGCTAAGCTACTGTAGTACATTTCTGGCTTGGATCGGCTGCGAGTTCGTGTTTTGAACAAATTCGATAAAAATTCTAAGATAATCAACTATAACAATTAATTAAGAAACGAAACAGAAAATTCTTAAATGGTGCTAAATTATACCGACATCGTATCAAAAGTACCACAATTTGTGATTTCAAACCAAGTTTGATACTATAGCTACAACTCTGAAAGCCCTAAACTCAGGGCATATCTAACTGCTGTGATATTGCATGCACATTACTGTTGTCATTTTCACTCCGTGCTGCACTACTGCATTAGCGACGTCTTTCGTTTTCAAATATCCAATCGGGTTGTGACACTCGCCTTATTTCAAAGCGAAAGTTACAGTCACCTCAAAATCCAAAATCATTTTTCTAAGATTCTCAATAATCAGATAACCTTTTCGTAAACGTTTTAAACGCCGAAATCCTTTTATTGCTATTTTAATTGATTGAAGAATTTAACAAGTAAGGAGTAAGCATAATAAGTAATTTAACAAGTTAACAATGGTAGTTGGTTCTGGATTCGTATCTGAACAACGAGATGGCCTCGTGGAGTTTACCTGTTTTATCCAAGTATTTTATACATAAATTGGGAGCCAGTTTCCAATAGAACAGTCTTGCCGAGTCCCTCTGGTACACTGTTTCCTGTTGTGTTGCGTCCCATATCTTACCCCCAGGAAACTATGCAAGCATAGCTTATTAGTCAAATAGTTTTTGTAATAATGAAGAAAGGCTTGTGGATAGATTGGACTAAATGTCGTGAAAGGGAGGGAGATTAAATTGAAAGAGAAGAAAAGTTGTATAAGAGTTACAACTAATTTATTACGGATACTTTCTTTCGTCCATTTTATTTATTACAATGTATTGTAATAAATACAGTTACTGTTAAGTATAAAANAGTTGCCGATCTTGCCCCTATACCCGGGGCAACTTCGTCAATTTCTCTCTTCTTGTAAAGTTGTAATTATTTTAATTATTTTTATGTCCAAACTGATTTTAACCAGTTCTATAGTAAGGTAACATTCCAATAGACAATATGCAAAAGGTTTTTTTCAGTTTACAGCAGTATTTATTACACAAAATTTAAGTAAAGCTTAACATGCCGATCTTGCCCCGATTTCCCCTATATAAATGTTGCTTAATTTGCCTTATTAATTCTTGATTCCTATTAATAATTCAATAGCGTATCCGTATATTTTTATTGTTCAGGAAATGCATAATAAACCAAAATTCGCATATAATCTGATATTTAATTCGTAAGTATTAAATAATAATAATTATAATAATAGTAATGAAGTCGAAATCTTACATCAAATTGACTTTCAGCATAATTTCAATAACTTTATTTACTCGTGTTTAATGTTAATAATTTTTCTATTATATTAACTTTATTATTTTAATTTTTCAATTGTAATTCTTGTCGATTCTTGACAAAAGAAAACTTTATTTAAATGTAGAATTTTCTACGATTTAGATGCAAAATATGTTTTATTTCCTACTTATTGGGCTGCAATTTTCAGATTGAAGACCTATACACTTCCCATTATCGTCCACCCGTCTACCATTCGTTAATCTCGAGAATGGAGCTAGATGAACCAGATATGGAAAGCTTAGAAGCGAAGGCCCTATTAACTATATAAGAACTTTTGGTCTGGACCGGAAGTCACGTGATTTTTTAAAATCAAAATATGATTAAAATTGAGGTCGGCATTGTACGATGTCACAATAATATACATTTTATTTTTGCAAATTCAATTTCTCTTCAACGTAGATATTTTGTGTTCGTCAAATTTAATTCAGAATTAGCTTACTAGCGAATTCGCTCGCAACCAATGTACTAGAACCAAATTTATTATTATTATTATTTAGATTTAATGGAATACTAAATTATAATGGCATCATTCGTAGGGTTTAACATTAAAAATTAAAAAGTAGACTTTTCCCAGATAGCATAATTTCGAATGTTTTCTAAACTTTAGTTTTATATAAAAATATTAGATTAAATTAATAAATAATAGTATTTTAAATAAATGAATGTAGTGAATAAAAATATTGTATAGACCTTATAATTTATATAATGCAATATTCTGAGAATCAAGAAAGAAATTTTTTATTTAAATAAAAGCAAACTTATACATTAAGGACTACTTTTTATTCGACTCAATTTTATTTATTGTTTTATTAGAAATATTATTACGATGAAATAACTATATATTCTTGTTTTAAGTAAAATTCATATAAGAACAGCTATGATCTGAAAAACAACAAAATTATTTTTGAAAAGAAAAGAATACTTTTCCTAAATTCAAAAGTTGGAAAATCAAACAAAACTTCTCTCTTCTTTCATGTAGCATTGAAATCAGTTACGATGTAATTAAATTTGACATTTATAACTTTTAGTAATTACTTCAGAATCTTCTCTATCGTTATTAATTCACAATAATTTTTTCACTTTATTAAAACCGTGAAAGAAATTTTAATGATTTATTTTTAAACCATTAATTATAATATCTATTACAAAACATTATACATAATGATTTAATGATAAACACTTATACAAATATTGTACAACTCATTACTTTTTATTCTTAAATTGAAATCGTGCAATAAATGGTTTATGTTTTGAGTAAGCTTACGAATAATTTCTATTTGTAATTTTTTAAAAATTATTATTAAAAAAGGCGTTGTGGGGCATTTAAAATATTTTTATTGTTTATTTAAAAGGCTAAGTTTCATTGTATCTTAAAAAAATTCGTTTTTTATTGTAAAATAGTCCATAAATTTAATAGTGAACATTTGTAACTTTTAATAATATATATAGAAATTTATAAAAGAAATTTTAGAATTTAATTTACAATTAAAAATTTATTAAAGACCGAAAAATGTAGTTTGAACGTTATATTAGAATCGATCTATTTATTTTTTTTAATAAAATTAATATAATTTTCTAACGATAACTATTAACGTTCAGATATATAATGATTTTTCATTCTTATTTATTTAAAGGAGAAAATATTTGATTGTTAAACAATTTAAAAAATGGAATAATTTGTTGTTTATAATTATAAATTTCGATCCCACTTAATTAATTCGCATTCTTGTAGAATTATTTATTTATTTTTATAATTATATTATATTATTTAATTCAAATAATAGATTAATTAATAATGTAAATTTAAACCTTTAAAATAACTCACAGAGTATTCTCAAGTGTAGCTCTTACTATTATCCAAGGTATGATCACAATTACCGGAAGACCTAAAAATATCTTTTATTAAGATACTTATTATTATATAATAATTAGTTCATAACAAAGCAAAATGTACTGTACATACCCCATCCTAGTATAACATAATACCTTATACCACTGGTATCAGTAAACATCGACAGGAAAATAAGATTATGAAGGTAAAGACCTTCGATTAAGATCCAACAGTAATTTGCCATCAAGAAGTATTGCCAGAAACTAGTAAATACTTTGCAATCGATATTCTGTATGGAAACATATGAAGGAAAAAAATTATATAATATTCCTATATAATAAAATTCCTCATACATTTTTAATTATATTACTTTCAAAATAATTATATATATTATAATACAAATAGAGTGTTATATTGCCAGCTAAGAATCTTAGTAACATAACTCCAGAAATGCCATTTGAAGTTAATTGCTTTCATAGTTTTTGTCGAAACTTCAAAATTTCATTTTTATTCAACTACAGTAGTGTCTCGTATTTCAAATTTAATTCGTTCCATGGGGTCGTTCGAACTCTGAATTGTTCGAAGTTCGAATCAATTTTCCCTATTAAAAATAACAGGGAATTAATTAATTCGTTCCTACGCTCTGAGCAAACACCATTTCTCTGCTTGTTTTTCTCGCAAATAATTCACTCGGAGATGATATCACCAGCCAATTGCTTCTCATTTATTCACACTAAAAGGAGTTTTTCCATCTCTTCAATAAAATCCAATTTCCTGGAGGTGAAGGTTGTCATTCTTGTAGCCACATTTGCTGTTTTTATTGTTTCTTTGTTATTAAGAATGGTGCATACCGTCGATTTCGGCATCTTAAAAATGACTGCCAGATTTGCCACGTGTACTTTTTTGCTTCGCGATTAGGACCTTTTTCGCATCGATCGTTGATACTACAACATTCCACTTAGGCTTCATTGTTTTCACACTCTTCTTGGATGCTATGGTTAATGGGTAGGGGTTACATATATAAGCAAACATACCAAAAATAAAGCGAATAAAAGCACCAAAAACACACGACTGGTAACGCAAGATACGCTTTCACAGAGAGAGGGAGAAACGACTTGGGCGCATAAGGGATGACGTTTACTCAGCGAGCGTAGTTCGAACGTAGAAGCATGGTTCGAACTCTAAGTCAAACTTGGAAATCGAACTCTGAAACGCTTGAAGTACGAGGCATCCCTGTATTTGAAAAATTCAATTGATGTTTTTCCTTCGTAGTTATAGAAGATTAGTTTTTCTTATATTTTTAATTATTGCGTATTTTTTCAAATTTTAGTTACGTCACTAAAGTATAAAAATTTTAATAAGTTTGTGGTGGAATAATATAATAATAACATGACACATGCATTTTACTGTAAGATTGGGAGTCTCATGATATATTAAATCAAAATCGACAATTTCGGAGTTTTGTCACTAATGTTCTCAGCAGGCAATATTATAACAGTTTATTATTTATTAATATTATTATTATTACAGTTTATTTAATATATTCTTAATAAATAACGTCAATGTAAAAGGTGTTTATCTTTATTATTTATTAACATAAATTTTATTTTTTAGCATTTTTACCCGTTAAATTTTATTAAATTAAATATTATAAAGAAATTTATCAAAATAATCAAATTATTTAACTATATAGAATAAATGAAAAACTCCTTGCATCCTTTTCACTCCAAAAGTACTAAAGATATATTAATTTTATAAATGTAGTTATATAGGAAGTCATACATGGAAAATCAAATGAAATCTTATGTTGTAATTTTTTAATGAGTAGAGGTAATGTAAAAGTTTCAATGACAAGTTTAAGGAGCACCATTTAGTTAGTCTAAAACTATTTTCTGGATCTAAATAAATACAATTAGACTGTACATTATTGGTAGCTAAATTCATGAGAAGTAAAAGTGACTATTTTAAGTAATCTTGAAAATAATTTTTAAGAGCAACAAGAAAAAATCCATCTGATTCTCCGTAAATGACTTTTTACAATAACAGAATTAATATAACTTCATTAATTTTGAAATGAAAAAGAGTGCAACGGACTTTTGATTTACTCTGTATATGTTTTCATTATTGTACATTATTAAAAAGAATTTATCATTAGCGTTATTAAATAAATTAATAATAAATCTTACATTTTTCTCGTGACGAAAAAGAGAAAAATTATCCTCGGAATATCCAATGTTTGAAGAAAATCCAACACCTTCGATAAAAAGACTATCTTTCAGAAAAAACATTAACGCTCTCATGATAAAGGAAAGAAAAAGATGCATATGCAAACTGTTTCTTGGGCATCTCAATTTCCTGAAAAAGAACATAATTCGAAATTGGATACATAATTACTGAACTTAATAGGTAATCAATTATTGCATGAAGTCATGTTAATTTTATGAAGTAATATGACAAATGTGGAACTAGCCCACTAGAATCTGGCAAATATTTCTGTTCTAACTAATATTAAACGGAAAATTTGCAAGGATTTAAATTGTTCTAGAAATANAATGATAGCATCATTTGAGAAAATGAAAAAGAGATCATTTAAAAATTTCAAATTTCGGTTTCTCTGTCCTAAAAAATCGTGAGATTTTGTATTTCTTACGTGAGATCGTAAGATTTCGTTAAAAATCGTGAAATCTTGCAATTTATCGCGAGATCTGGCGAAACAAACAGAACATGCTTGGCTAAGCTACTGTAGTACATTTCTGGCTTGGATCGGCTGCGAGTTCGTGTTTTGAACAAATTCGATAAAAATTCTAAGATAATCAACTATAACAATTAATTAAGAAACGAAACAGAAAATTCTTAAATGGTGCTAAATTATACCGACATCGTATCAAAAGTACCACAATTTGTGATTTCAAACCAAGTTTGATACTATAGCTACAACTCTGAAAGCCCTAAACTCAGGGCATATCTAACTGCTGTGATATTGCATGCACATTACTGTTGTCATTTTCACTCCGTGCTGCACTACTGCATTAGCGACGTCTTTCGTTTTCAAATATCCAATCGGGTTGTGACACTCGCCTTATTTCAAAGCGAAAGTTACAGTCACCTCAAAATCCAAAATCATTTTTCTAAGATTCTCAATAATCAGATAACCTTTTCGTAAACGTTTTAAACGCCGAAATCCTTTTATTGCTATTTTAATTGATTGAAGAATTTAACAAGTAAGGAGTAAGCATAATAAGTAATTTAACAAGTTAACAATGGTAGTTGGTTCTGGATTCGTATCTGAACAACGAGATGGCCTCGTGGAGTTTACCTGTTTTATCCAAGTATTTTATACATAAATTGGGAGCCAGTTTCCAATAGAACAGTCTTGCCGAGTCCCTCTGGTACACTGTTTCCTGTTGTGTTGCGTCCCATATCTTACCCCCAGGAAACTATGCAAGCATAGCTTATTAGTCAAATAGTTTTTGTAATAATGAAGAAAGGCTTGTGGATAGATTGGACTAAATGTCGTGAAAGGGAGGGAGATTAAATTGAAAGAGAAGAAAAGTTGTATAAGAGTTACAACTAATTTATTACGGATACTTTCTTTCGTCCATTTTATTTATTACAATGTATTGTAATAAATACAGTTACTGTTAAGTATAAAAATAAATAAGTATATAAATCATTATATAAATGTGAAACATCCGGATGATCGCGCACTTTTTTATTAACGTGATGGATCTATTGTTTTTCTATTGCATTTCTTTCCATTTAGAAATTACAAAGTCAACTTTTATTTCTTATTCATTATGGTTCAGCTAAGCTGACATTTAGGATCGACTGTATGATGGAGAACGGGCAATCCGACACATCCGAGTAGACAATCTGTGAAAAACTCTTGAGAATTATACTGACAGTCAAACGCAAATTTAAGTCTTTCAAAGCGTCAGGTAGATTTATTTTCTCGCTTCAATAGTTAAACAAGTTTATTATTATTATTACTTTTTTAGATGTGCAAATGAAGATGAAGAAACTGAGAAGTCTCGTTTTAGTTTAAACTAGTATGTTGTTCTTTTCCCTCATTTATGCTGATTTAAATGATTCATGCGATAATGAACACAGTTATTCAATAGTATCACATTACTGGTATTATTGACTTATTATTATTTAATTGTAAATTAATTCTAAAAATCATCGCAATAGCAGGAAAGTTCAATAAGCAATAATAAAATTTACTCTGAATGAAAATAAAAGTATGTTTCAAATTGTTAATTGGTGTTTGCATGAAATTAATTATACAGTGATGTATTTTTTTTTATTTATAATTAAGAACTTAAAACTTTTATAGATCAAAATTCCAATATTCTGATCTAATTTCTTAACTTTCTGCCATTAAATAAAAATACTTATATACTTGATTGGATTTGTGAACGAAGAACTAGTTCAGGAAAAATGTCTGGCTTCAAATTTGTACACTATGAACGGGCATAATTTATAAATGAAATCGATGAAATAAATGAAAAATGGGGAAAGAAAACCGATTTAACTTATTCATCGAAATTCTCGAAGCGATTCGTATCGAAATCCTCAATGGAATAGGGGAATTTCTAAGCGAATAGTCATGCGGTCTAATAGTAGGCTAACTCGTAATCTAATCTAAAAAATTACGTAAATTTTTTTTGTTATAATCTAAATTTACAATATTCACATTGTTAATTCTGTCTATACTTTTTTTCTTTTGCTTGATTTCAAAAACAGATTTAAAGCCATACATTTTGAAAACTGATCGTAAAACTTAAAAATGCACATTAAATTACTCAATTCGTTCCTTCAATATTTTCAAAGCAGATTATTCTTCAAATAAACTCTTAATAGTGATTGCAACCTCTTTGATGTTCATAATTTGAAGTTTAGACTATTTACAAAAAGTCAAAATTAACTTTTGAGTCCATCTTTATCCTTTATACACTACCATAGAAGTAACAGTCTTAAAAATTTTTTTTGCTTTGAAAAACTCTTCTTAAAACACAGGTAAAAAATCCCAAGTATTTGGTAAAAAATCCCAAGTAATTGGTAAAAAATCCCAAGGTTAAAAAAGATCAAGTGTCAGCCTTTCTCTGTAGGTTTCTGACACTTTTACAATTAAAAGCACAAAGAAATTCTTCACACTATCATTTTTATCCACTTTCTTTAACTGCTTCTGGCCCTCTAGTGGTAGTTACGAGTATCTACATTATTTGCATATACAGTACTGTAGTTACAATTTTTGTGATAACTCAGGATTTATTTCTTCATAATTTGAAGTTTAGACTATTTAACCTTGGGATTTTTTACCAATTTTTACCTGTGTTTTAAGAAGAGTTCTTCAAAGCAAAAAAAAATTTTTAACACTGTTACTTTTATGGTAGTGTATAAAGGATAAAGATGGACTCAAAAGTCAATTTTGACTTTTTGTAAATAGTCTAAACTTCAAATTATGAAGAAAGAAATCCTGAGTTATCACAAAAAAAAAAAAAAAAAAAAAAAAATTGTAACTCTTTGATGTTGCACGCAATCTCAAGCAGATGGCGTTAAAATCTTTTTCCAAAAATTTTTGAAAACGCAAGCAGATCGAACCAAACAGATTTTTGCGTTAGAACCCAATTTCATTCTTCTGTTAACCACGGTTCGGTAGTTTTAAACTCAAATACGTTAATTTTCTACGATTTAAAAATCTATATAAAATTAAATCCGAGTTTTACAATTTTAAATTGCAATTAATAAAAGAATTAAACAGGATTCTAATGCAAATATCTGTTTGGTTCAATCTGCTTCCGTTTTCGAGAATTTTTAGAAAAAGATTTGCCATAGAAAAAGCATTATTATTTTAACGCCATCTGCTGATGATCACGTGCATAACCAAAGAGTTTAAATCTTAAATCTTTTTAATCAATAATGAATAGAGGCTTAAATCTATTATTTTAAAAAGTTATATTTTTTAATTTTAGCACGCCTATACGAAAAATGTTCTGTTTTAAAACGAAATTATGAAATATATTTCAAATACAAAATTAAAAGTTAAATGTTTATCACAGTTTTTAAATATGAAGTAAAAGAAAACCTGCTTTCTTTGTTTTATTTATATCTGTATTTCCTTCTTTAGTTTTTGCATGTTTTAAACAAATTTATCAACCAGGATATTAAATTTTTATATTTGAAATAAATCTAATTTATAAAATTGAATAGTGCCGTATGCTAGTTCTATTTTTTAAATTATATTAGAATGCCAAATATAGAAAATAAAATCAAATACTTTCGACGATCACATTCATTATTTTCTTAAATTTATGTAGTACGATAACAATAATTCATTTATTCAAGCAGCATTCATTCAATTTAGTATAATTTTAAGTAACATTTATTGAATTTGATTGGAGTTTCTTCAAACAATTACTATAGTTTCTTAAATTTGATAATTTAAAAATGGATTTTATAGTCTAATTTTTATAGCAAAACAATCATATAACTAATTTAACATAAAAGCTTCATCTCAAAGTGAATTACTCTTATTAAATCGTAATTATATTATATATGATGTTAAGTTAAAACGATCTCTTAATGTAAGAAAATCCAGCAACCAGTTGCTTAACTTTCCCGGCAACATTTAAAACTGCGTGTGTTGTGCCAACTACTATGATATTTATTTTAAAAACTTTTTAATTATTATAAAATGACAAAATACTTAAACAATAATTTAGATTAGGGATGGGTTTTATAAAAACATTGTAAATGCTAATAAGGAGTAAAATCGCCATTAAGTCCAACCCTACTCGAGATATGATACGAGTCCCTTTTATCTTCCCACCCCTGGACCTTTAACAACCAACATTTAATAGCATCGATCCCCTAGTACACAAACCTCCTGCAGAATTTTTAAAATTTTCGGCAAAAAAGCACAGGAGTTATTCAGCTTCAAAGAGGTGAACAAAATCATGCTCCCCCGACACACATCCATATATACAGAAATTACCCCCGAATATCTTTTGCATTTTTCGACGTTTCAAGTCTCCCGAGTCCCCAAAAATGTAAAAATCTTGGGGGATAATTTTTTGACCAATCGCCATACTTTCTCTCTGTCATATATATAACAGAGCCAGGAAAGTAAACTAGTCTCAACTTCTCTTCATTAGGTTATATATTAAACATTAAGGTATGCAAATAAATTAATATTTCTCATAGTAGATTAAATTAGATCTTGTTAGATGAATTTTGATATACTAATTCCTCAAACTGTAAATTACTTTTGTACAAATAGCATGTTAAGTTTATATTCAATAAATAGCAATTAATCAAAATAACCTGTTTCATTCTAATCTGAATTTTATAACGTAAACCAAGGATTGCAAACCTATGCAAACGTGCCCAAAGTGGTACGCACGCCGAAAGAATTTGTATGACCCGCTGCAACATGTATTATGAGTTTTATTTTTCATTATATAATATTTAAAATAATAACTAGGCCTAGTCATTATAAATAATAGAATATTACACTAATTGCATTATTTTATTAATATTATTAATGTTCAATACGAAATAATACAATATCAGTTCAGTCATTTCGACAAAGTAAATGTCATATAAATAACATTAAAATTACGTGATTTAATTTCAGTTTGTAATTTTAGTTTTATATTCAAGTTAGTTTATCATACTCACTTCATTTAAAAAAGTCAATAGTTAAAATTTTATTAAAATATTAAAGTTAAATAGGTTTATAGTAGTCAAAAAGGCTATTGACATGGCTATACTATTCGAACTGTTGATTTTGTAATTTTGTTAAACAGTGATAAATAACACCAATTAAGAGTTTGTCGAAATTATTATTCAATATCTAGATCACTATATGAAGGTTTTTAGAAAATAAAAATTTTAGAGCGATTTGGTTAGGAAACAGACAGACACGTATAAAATATTTAGATTTGGAATGCAATTGTCCTAAATGACTGTTTGTCTGCATACAAAATTTCTACAAATTTAATGATGCTACTAGTATCAATAATTAATCAACAAAATCTCAAGTAAAGTTTAATCATTCCTCTAATTCAATTCTTTTTATTTTATATAAATTATTCATAAAAATTAGCTGTTAAAGTACAACTGTAAATCAATCTTCCGATATAATTATAAATATACTAAAGGCAAACGGAAAACTACTTAATTACCATAGTAAGCTGTTAAATCTGATATAAAAATTTCGGGTTTTGATTGATATTTTATCATTTTCGCTACAAAAACTCTGTAAAAATGCTATAACATGTATTAAATTATTTTATGTCTCAAACTCGCAATACATATAAGTCTACGAAATCAATTCCGATAAAATTAGTATATATTTTTGCTAAATGATTTTCAAAGAAAGATAAGCTTTCACTCGTTGATCAATTAATTCAGCGTGAAGATGATTTAGGGGAGATCGGGGCAACTTCGGCATGCGGGGCAAGTTTGTCAAGCGCTTTTTTAAAAAAACAAATTAAAAGGAGACTTTGGTTATAGGTTAGGCAGTTGAGTTTTATTGGTGGCTTGTTGAGTGTAGTGTTTTTATTGTTCTCCAACAAGCGTAGTTGAATTATCAAGCAAATTTTCATTTTCGTTCAATTCCATATAATATTTTTTTTCCATTTATATTGAATTGGCAGGTTTTGTTATAATTCCATGATAACGAAAGTTACTTTTCNAAAACACACGACTGGTAACGCAAGATACGCTTTCACAGAGAGAGGGAGAAACGACTTGGGCGCATAAGGGATGACGTTTACTCAGCGAGCGTAGTTCGAACGTAGAAGCATGGTTCGAACTCTAAGTCAAACTTGGAAATCGAACTCTGAAACGCTTGAAGTACGAGGCATCCCTGTATTTGAAAAATTCAATTGATGTTTTTCCTTCGTAGTTATAGAAGATTAGTTTTTCTTATATTTTTAATTATTGCGTATTTTTTCAAATTTTAGTTACGTCACTAAAGTATAAAAATTTTAATAAGTTTGTGGTGGAATAATATAATAATAACATGACACATGCATTTTACTGTAAGATTGGGAGTCTCATGATATATTAAATCAAAATCGACAATTTCGGAGTTTTGTCACTAATGTTCTCAGCAGGCAATATTATAACAGTTTATTATTTATTAATATTATTATTATTACAGTTTATTTAATATATTCTTAATAAATAACGTCAATGTAAAAGGTGTTTATCTTTATTATTTATTAACATAAATTTCATTTTTTAGCATTTTTACCCGTTAAATTTTATTAAATTAAATATTATAAAGAAATTTATCAAAATAATCAAATTATTTAACTATATAGAATAAATGAAAAACTCCTTGCATCCTTTTCACTCCAAAAGTACTAAAGATATATTAATTTTATAAATGTAGTTATATAGGAAGTCATACATGGAAAATCAAATGAAATCTTATGTTGTAATTTTTTAATGAGTAGAGGTAATGTAAAAGTTTCAATGACAAGTTTAAGGAGCACCATTTAGTTAGTCTAAAACTATTTTCTGGATCTAAATAAATACAATTAGACTGTACATTATTGGTAGCTAAATTCATGAGAAGTAAAAATGACTATTTTAAGTAATCTTGAAAATAATTTTTAAGAGCAACAAGAAAAAATCCATCTGATTCTCCGTAAATGACTTTTTACAATAACAGAATTAATATAACTTCATTAATTTTGAAATGAAAAAGAGAGCAACGGACTTTTGATTTACTCTGTATATGTTTTCATTATTGTACATTATTAAAAAGAATTTATCATTAGCGTTATTAAATAAATTAATAATAAATCTTACATTTTTCTCGTGACGAAAAAGAGAAAAATTATCCTCGGAATATCCAATGTTTGAAGAAAATCCAACACCTTCGATAAAAAGACTATCTTTCAGAAAAAACATTAACGCTCTCATGATAAAGGAAAGAAAAAGATGCATATGCAAACTGTTTCTTGGGCATCTCAATTTCCTGAAAAAGAACATAATTCGAAATTGGGTACATAATTACTGAACTTAATAGGTAATCAATTATTGCATGAAGTCATGTTAATTTTATGAAGTAATATGACAAATGTGGAACTAGCCCACTAGAATCTGACAAATATTTCTGTTCTAACTAATATTAAACGGAAAATTTGCAAGGATTTAAATTGTTCTAGAAATAAATATTTAAAAAATTACATCTCACATATATATATATAATAAAGTTTTAAAAATGTTAACATAAATTATTTTTATAAATTATTACAATGGTCGTAAAACTATAGGGCGCATTGTAATAGGAAGCACAAAGACTAGAAAGAGTATCGTTTTAAATGAAATAAACTAATTTTCCGGCTTTCGAATGCATCAATTTTAAATATTGATAAATATCATTTATTTAGATTACATAGTGTGCTATTGATACTATATAATGGATAAAACAATTTTTCTTTAAAGATGAAAAATATAATAGATAACTTATCTAAAATATGACTAAACTTCTGCAGTCTATAGAATATATTTTGTTTGTTTATTATCTTGTGCCCTCGTTATAAGTTTTTTTCATGTTTTCCAATCTTTAATTCAATCATCGAAATATTAGCAATTAACAAAATCCCATTTTGATATTCGAGCTAAGTGATTATTTCCTATATTAGAGATTATCGGATTTTCTAATAAGATAATTAAAAATTGCAAAATTTTACTTATTTTTTTATTATACATCGACAGGAAAATAAGATTATGAAGGTAAAGACCTTCGATTAAGATCCAACAGTAATTTGCCATCAAGAAGTATTGCCAGAAACTAGTAAATACTTTGCAATCGATATTCTGTATGGAAACATATGAAGGAAAAAAATTATATAATATTCCTATATAATAAAATTCCTCATACATTTTTAATTATATTACTTTCAAAATAATTATATATATTATAATACAAATAGAGTGTTATATTGCCAGCTAAGAATCTTAGTAACATAACTCCAGAAAAGCCTTATATAAATGTGAAACATCCGGATGATCGCGCACTTTTTTATTAACGTGATGGATCTATTGTTTTTCTATTGCATTTCTTTCCATTTAGAAATTACAAAGTCAACTTTTATTTCTTATTCATTATGGTTCAGCTAAGCTGACATTTAGGATCGACTGTATGATGGAGAACGGGCAATCCGACACATCCGAGTAGACAATCTGTGAAAAACTCTTGAGAATTATACTGACAGTCAAACGCAAATTTAAGTCTTTCAAAGCGTCAGGTAGATTTATTTTCTCGCTTCAATAGTTAAACAAGTTTATTATTATTATTACTTTTTTAGATGTGCAAATGAAGATGAAGAAACTGAGAAGTCTCGTTTTAGTTTAAACTAGTATGTTGTTCTTTTCCCTCATTTATGCTGATTTAAATGATTCATGCGATAATGAACACAGNTAATGAGTAGAGGTAATGTAAAAGTTTCAATGACAAGTTTAAGGAGCACCATTTAGTTAGTCTAAAACTATTTTCTGGATCTAAATAAATACAATTAGACTGTACATTATTGGTAGCTAAATTCATGAGAAGTAAAAATGACTATTTTAAGTAATCTTGAAAATAATTTTTAAGAGCAACAAGAAAAAATCCATCTGATTCTCCGTAAATGACTTTTTACAATAACAGAATTAATATAACTTCATTAATTTTGAAATGAAAAAGAGAGCAACGGACTTTTGATTTACTCTGTATATGTTTTCATTATTGTACATTATTAAAAAGAATTTATCATTAGCGTTATTAAATAAATTAATAATAAATCTTACATTTTTCTCGTGACGAAAAAGAGAAAAATTATCCTCGGAATATCCAATGTTTGAAGAAAATCCAACACCTTCGATAAAAAGACTATCTTTCAGAAAAAACATTAACGCTCTCATGATAAAGGAAAGAAAAAGATGCATATGCAAACTGTTTCTTGGGCATCTCAATTTCCTGAAAAAGAACATAATTCGAAATTGGGTACATAATTACTGAACTTAATAGGTAATCAATTATTGCATGAAGTCATGTTAATTTTATGAAGTAATATGACAAATGTGGAACTAGCCCACTAGAATCTGACAAATATTTCTGTTCTAACTAATATTAAACGGAAAATTTGCAAGGATTTAAATTGTTCTAGAAATAAATATTTAAAAAATTACATCTCACATATATATATATAATAAAGTTTTAAAAATGTTAACATAAATTATTTTTATAAATTATTACAATGGTCGTAAAACTATAGGGCGCATTGTAATAGGAAGCACAAAGACTAGAAAGAGTATCGTTTTAAATGAAATAAACTAATTTTCCGGCTTTCGAATGCATCAATTTTAAATATTGATAAATATCATTTATTTAGATTACATAGTGTGCTATTGATACTATATAATGGATAAAACAATTTTTCTTTAAAGATGAAAAATATAATAGATAACTTATCTAAAATATGGCTAAACTTCTGCAGTCTATAGAATATATTTTGTTTGTTTATTATCTTGTGCCCTCGTTATAAGTTTTTTTCATGTTTTCCAATCTTTAATTCAATCATCGAAATATTAGCAATTAACAAAATCCCATTTTGATATTCGAGCTAAGTGATTATTTCCTATATTAGAGATTATCGGATTTTCTAATAAGATAATTAAAAATTGCAAAATTTTACTTATTTTTTTATTATATATTTTAAATTAATTTAATGTAATTTTGAAAATTTTAATTTTTTATAAAAATAATTATACTCGTATAGGCCATAAGTCTACATTAGAGAAAGAAAGCATCGTGTTTTTGTCTTTAAAGAAGTGACTGATTCTGGGGAAAATTGATAATCAATAAATGTAATCAAATAGCAGGCTTTATAAACTAGCAGGCAAATATAATAAATATTTATGCCAGGCATTTCCCGGGAAAAAATAAGTACAAACATTAAGATTATTAGATTATTTCTTACTTCTAACCGTTCTATTATATTATATTATAGTATTTGATTTATATAACTACAAAGGTTGTCTTACGTAAGGGTTTATCACACCAATTGATCAATCTAATACATTTTAAAAATTCTTTAAATTGTGTAAAGTAGAGGAAGAAAACCTTTAAAATGTGTTAGATTGGTCACTCGATGTGATAAACCTTTACGTAAGATAACCTTTGTAGTTATATAAATGAAATTCTATCATATAGGAAATATTAAAACGAAAACAATATAAAAACTATCTTGTATCTAACTTCATAAAACCAATTTTATGACGTTAGATACAAGTTACGCTAATTGGGATAATAAAATATGCTAAATTAACGCTTAATATAAACATCATAATTATTACAAGTTTTTAGATTTAATAAGACGTGAAATAAATAAAATAGTAATAAAAGTTTTCTGAATGAGTCTAAATGCAAGCTAAATGTATTTAATTTTTCTTAAAATTTTGTTTAAAACAATGTAACACACTCAAATATATATATTTTAACTTGTACATTTTGACATTTTTCAACACAGTACAATTAAATAATATAATTCTATTGATCTACTAGAATTATAATTATACTTTGTTTGCAAGCTCACATTTAAGATGTACAGTATTTCAATTTCACAAATATCAGAAATAGTCAATATTAAACTTTATTAATTTATGAAAATTTTAAACATTGCTAATTTATATTTTTTTTTTTTTTTGTTGTCGTAAACCGCGACCAAAATTTTAAAATTTTTGTAGAAACAGCCAAAAATTACATCTCGCAAAGTCAATAGTCTTTAAATAATATAATGAAAAATAATTCTTTCAATGACTATGTAGAAAACATATTATGTGAATTGCTTTATCTATCCTAATTTACTTTCACTTAGCTAGACAATCATGGTTTATTGGAACAGATCAGATGGAGCAAACTATCTCAAAGGCATATTGGTAGCACTTGATTTCCTTATATTTTATCAGAAAAACAAGTTTACAAATGTATTGCCAATGATACTCATTAATAAAATGAAATGAGATTAGCAATATAAATTCATTCCTACACTAATTACAATTAATTTTTTACGTTTTTATTTTGTAGACGTTTAAATTTGCATGTCTAACACGGACGTAGAGATGATGATTTTTGAGTATAACATCATAATTCCAATTAATGGATCAAATATATTCTCATATTGAATAAAAATGATCATTTTAAAGGTTTCGTTTATTAATATTTTCAACTAATAATTTTTTTTAAGATTAATCATCAAATTTAAAATTATATAAACAATTTAAAACAATTAAATTATTATTAAAGTTTATTATCTATTTCAAATGATTATTTTTTAAGTGTATTTTAAAAGATATACATGCAATATAAAAATCTTCAATGTAAAATTTTTACCTGATAGAAGCCAATATTAAAAAGGCTACAATTAATGTAGAGAAAGAAACGCTGTAACCTGTTTTGGATATTAATTTTATATTTGATAAATGCGACTGAAAGATAAATTAAATAAAAATTAATATCATTAAATATAATTATTTCATTTGATGTTTAGTAATATAATCTAATAATTCATTCATTATAAATGAAATATTCAATATATAATTAGCGTATACATTTCGATTATTTAGTTTAATTTATATAATTTTTTGATAACTTGTGATATAAATAAAGAATAAACTAAGCTATATATAATAGGATGAATTACAATTAATAAACATAAATAATAACGAAATGCAATTTGAAATTATCAATAATTAATTAATTAAAATAGAATTAATAAAGATTTAATTAGTTTTAAAATAGTCTGTAATCAGCTGTTGCTTCAGTTTTTAAAAACTAAATAAATATTTTAAAGTAATTAATTTAAAATATAACAAATTTCATTTAACGTAACTTAAAGCTAATAGAGTTATCAGTAATATTAATTAAAAATTTGTGGCAAAGGAAATGAAATTGTTGTATTAACAACACAGTAAATTCATGAATTATGTTAAGAATCTCCTTTAAATAGCTATTCATTTGAGTAGTGCATTTAAATATCACACGACTTAAATTACAATATAAATAGAGGCAGTAAGTGTACACTTCTGCTACGTAATAACTAAAAATTTAATTGCAGTGGAATGTAGATAATCGGTAGTAGAATAGTCGTTGGTGCACCCACACTCTCTCTAAATGGCATAGTTTAAATTACAAAGTTGCAGAGCCTCTTAGATTAACACAAAACGTATTATTTTTTGTTCGGTTAAAATATTTAAAGAGGAAGCGGCTGGATATTCTCAAAAAATGCATCTCGAATGCTCATGATCATGCAGAGATTTTTGTTGTTATTGTTTTGGACGGTGTCCAAAACAATAACAACAAAAATCAGTCGCTTTCTATTTGGGTATTTTATCATTTTAATTAAATCACTCCATTTTCAAAATATATTACATAGTTTATATTTTCATCGTAATTTCTTTTTAAAAGAAAGCATAATGTTTTTGGATCTATTCGCACCAAGAAAACAATTTATTGAAGAAATTTTCTCAATATTTTAAAGAATTTTTGATAACCCTTTTGAAACTATCCCGAAACATTGCACTCTATGAACTAACAAACATATACAATTACAATTTTATTACGAAAGGAAAATGCAAGGAAAAGGAAATGTAAGAAAAGCTGACATTTTCTAAAGCTGAACTTCAGAAAATGACAAACAAAAGCTGACAAACTTTCTGGACTGTTTAGTTCAAAAAGTATTTGCTGATATATCGGAAAAAAAGATATTCAAAATAATATTTTTGAAGTAACTGTAATTGATAAAAAGGAATTTTTTATTTTTCAGTTTTATAGCAATTTTCAAATGCTAAATTATATAAACTAACATTTTCAATTTTATAAAACTTTTGAATCATCATCAGAAGTTCAGATAAAATAAAATAACGACCAAAATCAAAAATAAAATTGTTTGAGACTTTAAGATTTTATCAAAGGAAACTTTTCACTTTATCAGACTTTCCAAGTACGATCTTTTTCCTACATTCAATAAATATCCAGTGGACAAGTATTATAGATGAAACCACTGAACACTGGTAGTGATAGTCGCTCGTGGAATCTCCCTTGTCCAACAGGCTGGCCAAGTGGGTTTCCCGGTTTTCTTAATGAGTCTAACACCTAAATAGGGACCAATTTTTCATAGAATGTTCTCCCAGAAGATTTAGTCCCTTGGTAGATCGCTCACGCGTCGCATTGCCCTATTTCATCAAACCAACCCACAAACTAACCTAATCTTTAAGCACTATCATAAAATATTTTGTCATGTCACCATAATTAATTTTGTAATTAAAGATATCAGTTTCATATTTATGGCAATAGTTTTAATTTTATTAAATGTAATCTTTAATTTTTATTTGAAACTATTTATGATACGAATTCGTTATGTGCGATTTTCAAGCATATGATATGAACGGTTTAACTGAAAGTAATTTAACGAAATGATTTTTTTTCGGGATAGGATATCTAATACTTATTCGTATTCCTGCTATCTTTTCGGTTCGGATTACTAATTAGGTTTTTTCAATGATATTTAATTTGAATTTTGATCTGCACTTTCAGTCAAGAGATTTCTTCTTTTAGACCAGTTTATTAAATCTTAAAATTTCTAATTAAAAAAGAGATGTTAAAAGTACTTAATTTTTTAAAGTTTAATAATGAATTCATGTAAATTACAAAATTCTGGATATTATAAAAAATTTTGTTTTCATTTTATCTACTTTTAAGAAAAATTATTGCAATAAATCATCTCTAGCATCGAGTTCTTTACGTAGTAAACATCCAGATGCGGTGGATCGAAAATGTAGTTTATTGCTCCTGAAATGTATAAGGTTCTTTTGAAATTCGAGAATTTTGAAAAACGGTTTATAACAACTGCAAAAAGCCAGAAATATTTTAGTGCTGTTGAGTATAATAAATTCGAATTATTTTAAATTTAGAAATTAATAATTTAAAAGTTTATTTTTGCAATCACATTTCAAATTTTACCTGTTTAAATATAGACGACTGCAGGAAATGTATGACTTTTTTTCAAAGTTTATAAAAAATACCATTTTGATATTGATTTTTACGCCTATGCAGGCAATGTTTCCAAATTTAGAACATTCTCATATTTTCTTAGAATACACAAAATTTTTATTTTAGAAAGTAAATTTCTCAACTTTGTCAACAAATACTTGATATAAATTTTGTATTATTCGTAAAAAATAGCTGATTATTTTGTCATTTTATTTTAACTTATTATTATATGATAAATAATAAATAAGCAAACACTAAATTTTTACGAACAAATAAACAAAGAATTATAATATGAATAATTAAAGTTGCATGTCTTCTGACTTGCAAGTTTAATAGAGAAGAATATTCTGTACATTATAGTTTCACTCTATGATAAAAACTATGTTAATTTGTTATTTAATCAGAAAACTAAGTTAAAATAGTTTATATAAATGTATAAAGTGTATAAAGTAGTGAAGTAGTTAAGTAAGGTGTTTTTTAGTTACGTAGTTATACCAAATTATATTTCAAATTATTTAAAAATTGAAATTTAATTAACACGTGTAATTACTGTATAAACTAAAAAGTAGCGCCTCGTATTGTGGTAGTCGAAAGCCACGCCTGTTGTGTGTTGTTTACGCCCAATTGCCGTAAAAATAAGTAAAAAAATAAAATGTTTCTACATTTTATTTTTTTACTTATTTTTACAGCAATTGGGTGTAAACAGCTTCTGACTTTCAGGATGTTTTAACTATGCACATATTTACTGTGGCCTTAAATCGTATATTAAGATTAGCGGACGACTTTTGTTTCTTGCATATAGAAGCTTGAATAATGAGTCTAACTTGTAATCGGTCAAAAATAACAGAATAGACTGTGGTAAAGGGCTTATCAATATACTGTTCACTAACTAATGTACACCTCTAAGGGTGAGATGGTAATTAGCAGAAAAGTATACTTTGTTTTTTCGAATCTATTGTTCGGAAATATTACTATTTTTTTCTCGTTGTTATGCTTTGTTATGATAAGAAAACATCAAGTCGATCAGTTTTTAAAATAAAATTTATTTTTACAATTACGGCTTCCAGTATTTTCGTTTTATCACCATCACCTCACTTATCCTATAATTGAAAATACATATTTATTAATCATATGTTTTCATTAACATATGACTTAACGCAATGACCTTGTTTAGATGAGACCCAAAAGCCTACAAAGGAAACTTTCTAGAATTCTGGGGCTGCATACAATTTTTCATCTGAAGTTGAATGATATAATGATTTAAACGTGTTGAATATCGAGAAAATCCGTAGCAGCCAATACACTAAGTACTAAAGTAATATATTTTAATAACATGCAAACTACTAATATATACTGTATTTCTTCGTTAAATTCCGGGGAATAAAGATGCTGTTAAAAATAAAAAATAAACTGGCGTTCTCAAATAAACTTCAGATTGAAAAGCATGAAAAAACGTGTTGAAGTACTGTACTATATAAAATAATTTTGTTTAAAGTGACATGTAAGGAGTTTTACTAAATTTATACCTCTTTAAATTGTCTAGAGCAGACAGAACTTTCAATTCCAAGACTTACGGAAACATTTTTCAGAATAATAAAATTATATATATTGTCGAATATTGAGCGTGTAATAGCTTATCGCGTTTATAAGTCGATAGCTTATCAGCCGAAGGATAATTAGGAAAACTCAAATTGGAAGATGGTAAATTTGAACCATAAGATGATAGTCAAGATCTCGAATTTTACAACGACATTGCAGCAGACACGAATGACAACGCAATAACCAAATTGGAGGACGCTGAATCGGGTTAACTACGAAAGCAGTAATTATTTCAAATATTGTAGCTGTAACCATTAAGTATAATCAATAAATGTTGATAGTTCAGAAAATGTACGAGTATTTACGGTACTTCAATACTTACCCACTCGTTTCCTGTTGCAAGGTAATAAACTTCGGTCTCGAAAAAAACGGATCGTCAAATAAACCCCGGGAAATACGAACTGTGCGTTTTAAAAATAGGCCTCCGGGATTTAATTAAGGAAATGCTGTAGTTTATCATTTTGTTGGTCAAGTTTATATTGAATATTCTTCGTCACGAATATCAGCTCGATTAAAGTTGCGTAATGGCACGAGACAGAAAACAAGAAAATAAAATTTACGTTGCCAAAGTTCGGGGGCCGTATATTAGGATTTCGCGGATTGCCTAAATATATGTACATCAAGAGCAGTTGACTGGCAACGTATCATTAGGTATTTTTGGAGTGTACTTCAATTTCAACTTATCTCACAGAACGACATTGAAGAATTTGTACTGTACTTGAATTGACTTTGTAATTGAAAAATTTGATATTGAATTTAAATATGAACAAATGTTCATAAAAAAATTCAACATCAAATTTTGTGAATGTGAATATCTAAA